AAGAAACTGCAAGCCAACCTCCAAAGTGGCTGTGCCTTTGTTTGCATTTTAAAGCATCCAGAGAGGCCATCACTCCACCCAAACCTCTCCTCTCTAGTCCTCCGCTTCCACCTGGCTGCTGCAGCCCAAGTTTACAGGCCGGTCTGGATGCCGTGATGCTCCCTCCGCCCCTTCTTGGGCTGCACTTTTAGCCTCCTACCCTGGCCCCAGGGCCCTCCTCCCCGGCCCACCTACACCGTAACAGGAATGATCCTGGAAAGTGAAACATGTCAAGGCTTTCTTGCTCCCATCACACCTGGAGTCAGCAGATCCCAGTCCAGCCCCAAAGAGTTCCTCCTCCCTGGCTCTAACTGGCCCAGCCCCACTGGTTCTCCCTTTCACCTCCAGCCACAGAGCACCAGTCCAGCAATGCCCCGCCTGGGATGCTTGTCCCCGAGATCGTGGCAGCAAGAGAGGAAAGCTGGTGCTCAGGCAGCCTCCACGTGCCGAGCACTGCCACAGACAGTTCCCTACTTCTTACCCGTGACTTTATCATCCCCATTTTACAGAGGAGAAAACTGAGGCACAGAGAAGTTCGTGCAGCCAACATCTTCAGAGTCCTCAAAGGACTGGCATAGGGTCATGGCCAAGAGGACCCCCAGCTTTCATTCCCTGCTATTCGCTTGTCCGTGGCATTCAGAGTGTTTATGGCTTCTGGGCCCAGCGCAGAGGGAGTGCCCAGTAGGAGCCATGGAGAAAAACCCACGACCCACTGTTGCAGCCTCCAAACAAGTGCAGGGCGAAGACCTTTGACTGTCCTGGTGCTCCGTGGAGAGCACCCCATCCTTCCTCAGGCTGAGCAGAAGAGGGGGACGTGCCGGGAGGCAGGAGGACTCTGAGATTTGAGGTTCAGCATCTGGTACAAGACATTACTCTGGCCCAGCCCCACCCCTGTGGCCTGAACTCCCTCAGGGTCTGGGGCTAAGACTTGGGCCCGTGCACTGGGAAAGGAGAAGGATTCCAACCCAACTGCACCTCACTCTCAGAGACGTTTTGCAATTTCTTCCTTTACGGACAAAGGTGAGCACTGCCCAGTGCCTGCCTTCCTGTCCACCACAGATCGGAAGCATTCCCACACCTTATGACATTGCCGGCCCCCTTGGGAGAGGCTGTGCTCACCAGCCAGGGAGGCAGGGGTGGCCAGCAGGTCCGTGAGGAAGTAGGGCCATTGGTGTATCACCGATGTATTTGTTCATATTTTGGTAACTGTCTTTCAATAAAGCGGATTTCCATTGAAACCTTACATGTTTTATTTTTTCCCTTTCGAAATGTTATTCTGACAGCACAGTGGATCCCGGTCAGTGGGTCCCTGACCCGAGGCTGGACTTGCTCGTGTGGCCCACTCCCCAGCACCTCTGGCATCAGCTGTGCAGAGGAGCCCCTGGGACCCCCTGTGGGCCCCGTCCCTCCCTGTTCCCTGTCACTGGTGGTTCCCACCCTACCCCGCCCTGCGGCAGGGTCCCAGGCCCCCAGGGATGAGCTCGCACTGCACTGACTCTGGATCAGAGGTCCTTTCACGCCTTGGAGCAGCTAAGGATTTGCTGAGCGCCCACAGGGTGCTGGCACTTGCAGTTCTGGGGCTGGGACCCAGCCATGAACAAAGTGGAACAAAAAGTCCTGCTCCCAAGGGCTAACGTTCCCGGGTGGCGTATGATGGAGGCCGGCGAGGGGCTCGGAACGGGACTGAGGCTAGGCCCTGCACAGGGTCCTCAGGCTCTCGGTGACCCGCCCACCCCAGCCAAGCACGCTGCTCTGTAGCCCCTTGCTGCAGCAGACATGGTTGGGGCCACCCAGATCCCCGTTCCAGGGAGGAGTGCCCGTCTCGCCACTACCCTTCCCTGATCGTCCTGGATCCATAGGAGCCACCTCCCCTCCGGGTGGCTGCAGGCAAGGACTGACTGGTGACTGCAACAGCCGCTGCCTCCGCCTCCCCCCACACTCCTAAGAAGAACAACCCCTTGCCCCTCTTCACGCTTCTTGGAGTGCCCCAGCGCTGGGCTCCTGTGGCACCCACGTCTCTCCTCGGCTCCTTCCTGCCAGGGCTGCTATCCTTTCCCCCATCCATCCCCTGCTCCACAACCCCCACTTCTAGAGGACATGGGCCCAGACCCTTGTTCAGCTTCTGCTGGGCCAGGCTTCCTCCCCACCCAGCCCCTGATGCCCATGGTGGCGGCTCATAAATACTTGTTGAAGGAATGAATGGAACTCATGTTTCATTGAGGGAAACTGAGGCCCAGAGTTGTCCAGTGATAAACAGTGAAGGGCAGAGTCCAGAAGCCAGGCCATCCAGGTCCCAGTCCAGCTGTGGGTGAGGGGGATCGCCTTCTGTTTTCTTGGCAGCACCGAGGAGGAAAGCGAGTGGCGTACCCAGACCCTTCATGGGCTCAAATTGCCTCTAGCACAAAGCCCTCACCTGCTCCATTCCTGGCTCCCGGTTCCAGCTGCCCCAGGCTGGGCTGCTCTCCCCTGGGCGCGGCCAGTGGCTGGGCCTCAGCCAGGCTGGGTGAGTGGGAAGGGGGCCTCAGGTTGTAAGACCTGGAGCTCTCTGTGTGGGAGAGATGCCCATGGGGCCCACACCCCTCATCCAAACACATGTGGAGCTCCTCCATGCCCTGTTCCTGGCACTGGGCACCAGCGGGGAACAAGATGACAGTCCCTGCCCCACAGAGCTCACAGCCCTGTGAGAGCAGCAGAGAGCAAGCCTGGGGGTGACGGCTGCCTCCAGGGGGAGCATCTGCCACTCTCACACTGGGTCCGGGGAGGCCTAGACCCAAATATTGAGTGGCTGTGTCTGCTAAGACCCAGGGGGAACGTGTCAGGCAGAGGGAAGGCACGTGCTAAGGTCCTGGGGTGGAGGGACACGTGGAACACCAAGGAACTCAAGGGGCAGGGTGCCCGCAGCAGAGGGGCAGGAGCGGGAGGGAGAGCAGGGAGGGGTGCGCTGCACAGGACGGGCTTGCAGAGAAGGGCGCAGGGAGCAGCTGGGATTCTATTCCCAGTGCTGGGGAGAAGCCAGGGAGGGTTTCAGGCAGGGGGCTGCAAGGCCTAATTCTGGTTCTAAGAAGACCACTCTGGTGCTGGGTGGACAGTGGGGTGAAGGGGATGGGGTGTGTCCTTGGGGGCCCCCACTGCTGTTGGGGAGCACACGGGCAGCTCTGATCTCCGCTATGATTCCTCCCGAGTTGTGGGGGTCCTCCCTGCAGGCTGGTTTTAGGAAGGGCAAAGTGGAGATGAGTCTGGAGCAGGCCGCAGCTGGGCCATCCCTCCGCTGGCCGAGACCACAGCCCAGCCCTGGGACCAGCAGGCGGAGGCCCTGAGGGGTCCAGTGCCCAGCAGGGTGGCAGCATCTGGGTCAGCTGATCCAAGGGCCCAGGGCCTGGCTTAGATTCCAGCTTGAGGAACTACCCCATGGGGCCCTCGAGCAAGTCCCTCAGCCTCCCTCCACCAACCTCCTCTAAAACAGGTTAGCAGCGCCTCTGAGATCTGCTGGCAGGGGCCCGTCAAAGATCAAGGGTGGGGCCTGAACAGACCTCAAACTTCAAGTTCACAGGCACCCAATGAACACTCACAAGCTCTCCACCCCCACACCAGCTCTACCTGTTTTAAAGCAGATTCTGGGTTGAGCTCACGTCACCCCTGGAAAGGCAGGGAAGTGTGTGGAAGTCACACAGACCTGGGGTCAAGTCTGTGTGATTCTTGCTGTGACCTTGAGCCAGCATGGTGCCTCTGTGTGCCCCTCTGGAGGGTGGGCAGTGCCAGCACAATACGTCTTAGTGGAGGGCAGCCGCCGAGGACCACTCACTACATCGGAGTTCTTTCTCCTCCTTCTTTCTCCTGCCAGCTGGCCATTCTTAGGAACACCCTCTTTTTGCAGATGGGGAGATCGAGGCTGGATGGGGAAAGGAATTCACTGGAGGTCCCTCCGCAGATGAGTGGCCTGCGTTCTGACCCAGGGCCCGTTGCAGGGTTAGCACAGCCAGGACAGTGCACCTAGAGACTCTACAATAAATATTTGCTGAGCACCAACTGGAGCAAGGGCCTCATGCCCCTGGGGCCCGTGCCTATCAGTCAGCGCCGTGTGAATGGCCCAGAGGCCTTGAGTGGAGTGGAGACAGATGGCATCGTGTTTTGGTCCCAGTTAGCTTAGATGCTGCTACTGGGGTCCCAGGAGGGCTCCAGAGTCAGAGGCGAGGTCCCCACCAAACCAAGCCAGCCCCAGGGTCCCCCGTCACCACAGGTCCAACCCAAGGGAGCTCCCACTGGGAAGCCTTGGTGATGTTTGGGGCCCTAGCCCCCAAGCCCCTGCTCCACACCTGCCATGCATGGCACCATCACCCGGGAATGAGTCGGGCGGGGGCTTCTCATCCGGGGTTGTCTGGAATCATCATCTAAATCCTGCAGAAAGAGGGTCCCCTGAGTCCTTTGCTGATGCGGAGGAGTGGCGAACTCTCCACTCACGGAAGTAGTTTGGGAAGGGAAGGAATTCTCTCCCCACAAGCCCCTGCTGAAGACCTTGGAGATGAGGCTGAGCATCAAGGTACAGATGAAAGTTGGTTTCTCAGAAATGGGCCATGTGTGTTCCCCAACCCCACCCCAGGCTCCTCTCGTCACCTCAGTGGAGACGCCGGCATGCTCTGACACTCCTCAGCCCCTAAAGGGGTTGTCGGTCCAGTCTGGGGAGGGCGTCGCTGCCACAGCAAGGAAGCCAGGAGGCTGGGCCCCGCCGCACCGGGAGGGATGACGTCATGGGAAGAAGCCCCGTGTGCTTGCTGGAGACCACTGGAAGCTGCGAGGAGGCTGCATTCTGTTTCTCCCAACAGCTGCCACTGTGCCCCACCCTTACCCATGAGGAAGCCCCAGGAACCCCCACCAAGGGAGAGGCTGAGGAAGATGGCGGATGCCCAGCACGCTGCGGAGCCATGCAGGGGAACTTCAGACAACACATCTCGACACAGGGGACCTCAAAGAGATCAAAATGCATTTAATGTGGTCTAGTCTCATCGCCTACGTCTTTAGATACTGCTATGTATTGAAAATAACATGAAATTCTCCGGTTTCACCATTTAAAATAATTTGACATTCTATGACCTCACGCAGGGCAGACACCCTGCACAGGGGCCTCCCAATGGTGGCTCCTCCTTGCCCCCAGGACCCTCTGGGCGGGGACCGGGCAGCACAGCACCAGTAGAGGCTCAGGGGGCAGCCACCGTGCTCTGAGCAGCACGCACGGGCTGCACACACACACTCAGGTACACGGGCTCACATGGGCACACACACAGCCACCTACACACGAGCCAGATGCACGCACTCACCTCCAGGTACCTCATCCAGGAAAACGAGCTCTACTCAGGCACAGATGTGCGTAATCAGGACAGAGGGTCAGGGACCAGGGGGTTCAACTGTGCCAGCGTCTATGGCCGGTGCCCAACCTGACAGGTGGGTGCCCAGCCTCACAGTCCCCCTTGTAGGAAACTTGCACAGACACACCGGTGGGTAGACAGACACATAACCACGTGCACGCACACACACACGAAGAGATCACGCACCCGTATGACTGACCCAGTCATACGCATGAAGAGCTGAGTGTGCATGTGTGTGCCACCCATGTATGCCTGCAGGCTCACACGGGCACACGCCTTCACACACACACACTCCCCAGGGGCCAAGTCTCCCTCGCTCCTGGCTCGTTCCATCCGCCCTCCCACTTCAAGTGCACTAAAGAGGGAGACTATTTTGGTCTTTAGCACAAGCCATAAATAAGTAAATAAATAAATACAGGGGAAGGAAGAAAGAGGACAGGAGAATCAAGCATCTGCCTGCCTGTGGGAGATGAGGCGCTAGGCTGCTCTCCGGCTGGATGGGGGCCGGGCAGCGAGGGCACAGACCTCGGAGAGGGCCAGGGGGTGGGCCTGGGGCCACCGGACTCAGCTCTGGGTTGGGAGAGTAGAAGGCTGGCTCACCGGCCCTGGAAGGGCACAGGCCCCTACACCAGTACCAAGTGGCCAGTCACCACTGTCCCTCAGCATGGCCATCAGGGAGGCGGAAGTGAGAGCCAAGCTCTCCCCTGCCGACTTCACCCCAGTACCCAGGGCTAAGGCTGAGAAGGCCCCTCGGGCTTTGGGGCCAGGCCTGGGAGCAGGAACCAGCTGAGGCACCTACGGCAGACCCCGAGAGGAAAGAGCTGCCTCAGCTGCATCTTCTATGTCAGAGATGAGGGTGGGGCTGAAGCCGGGCAGGAGGCTGAGTCAGGCCCACCCAGGGTTTGGGGATCGGGTGTCTTGACTTCCATGGCCCGAGTCCTCAGGGTTGAGTCTTCAGCTGCCAGGAAGGAGGGGAGGAGGTGGAGGGAAGAGGCAGGCACCCCCACCCCAGGTACCCTGGCCCTTCTCTGCCTCCCACACCCCACTGCTCACTGCATGACCCCTTTGCTGTTCTCTGCCTCAACTTCCCCACTTGGGCCAGAGAGTCCCTGGTGCCTTCTGGCTCTGAGCTGTCTCAGGGGCAGAGTTGGAGCAGGAGACACGGGCTGTCTGCTCATCGGCCTCTGGAGAGGCCCGGCTAGTGGAGAGCAGGTTTCCCCACAGCCCTGGGAAGGGCCTGGGTCCATCCCGGACCCGCCCCGACCAGCTGCCGAGAACAAGATCAGGTGGCAGAGCCAGCGGCCAGTGACAACAAGGGAACCCCAAACCTCTTCCTGACGAGTGTGCCACAGTGCCTCGACCTGGGGGAGGGCGGTGGAGGAGTGGCCCCAGAAGCCTCAGCCGGAATTCTGTTCCTCGGCCGGTTTCTGATGCAGCTTTGAATGAGCATGGTACTTCCCAGTCATCTCAGTTGGCAGGAGGTGGTGACGATTCCTCTCCTTTCCTAAGATCTTTTCTCTGCCATTCAACGCTGACCAGGGTCTGGCTATGCCCCACCTGGACTCTGCTGTGCTGTCCCAGGTGAGGGAGGGACAGAATGTGGTCCTATGTCAGGCAGGTCTGGCCCCTGCCACCTTCACAAGGCAGACAGAGGGGCTGGAGGGAACGGCAGCAGTGGAGGTATGGGGGTGGGGGGCAGAGTGGGACAGGGTGGGGGGTAGACAAGCGAGCCCAGTAAGAACAGGACAACCCGGAGTCTCTAAGGCACGACTCACTGTGGGCCCAGTGGGGACGGGGCTGCCGGCTTCCTCCTAGCCTGGGATCCCAACTTCCCTTCCCTATGGCTCCTAGCGGCCCCTCGCTGTGGAAGGGGCGGAGGCCTGGGCAGAAATGGAGAGAGAAGCGAAACAGGAAAATCGGGGGTGGGGGGAGGAACCCTCGATGGCAGGTCCCATGCTGGCCCTGAGACACATCTCTAAGGTACAAAGTCAAACTCTAAAAGCTCAAACCAGTTTCTTCCCAGCCCCACCCACCACCCCAATGAGAGTAGAAAGCTTTTATTACGATCATTAACATGGTCTTGATTTTTCTATCACAAACAGAGCCTAGCAGGCTGGAGAGCTCGACGAAGTGCGGTCCCCGAGCACCCTGCATGCCCGGGAGCTGCAGTGCCCACACACGGGGAGAGGCCGGTCCCACCTTGGGGAACCCTCTGGAGCCTCCAGCCAGCTGCATCCTGGCCGACCCATGGAATTCTAAGTGTCCTTTTTACCCCCTATGAATTAAAAAAATTTTTTTCAATTGCATGGTAATTTTTTTTTTTGTAAACAGTCTCACCCAAGCTAAGGTCAAGAAAACTGAAACCCAGTGTTTCTCCCCAAGTTAAAAACCAGCAAGGAGCACCGCAGCCAGCCAGCCTCGGACAGCAGAGGCTGGGCCCACCATCGAGCTGAGCTGTCTCCCCGCAGGTGGCAGCTCCATCTTCAGGCAGAAACCCTGGCCCCCGAGGCCTGGCCCCCCAGGCCTGGCCCCCTAGGAGGCCACTTCTTTGCCCTGAGCCTGCGATAGCCTCTGAGGCCGGGGACTGCCGCTCTGGCTGCCCCTCTCCGGCCAACCTCCTGAGGCTGTTGCAAAGAAACAAAAAACGACTAAAACGCTACTGAGTCCGCAACCCAGGGCACTGGCCCGTTCTGCTCAAACCCAGGGCCCCTGAGGGACAGCGGGGCCTCTCCCCGGCGGGGGGTGGATGCTGCACGTCGGCCAAGACTGGCTCAGATCTCTGACTCCCGTCTGTAGGGCCGCTGCTCCAGGGCCCCGCCGCCAGCCTGGAGTCTGTCGAAGTCATGCCTGGCCTGGGGGCTGAGGCCGTCCCGGCTTCGGCCAGCCTGGTCTCCGTCCGCCTCCTCCTCCTCGTCGCGGCTCAGGAAGGCCAGCTCGTTCTCATAGCAGAAGGAGTTGGCACTGGGCAGCAGGAACTTGTTCTCCACCAGATCCTTAGCACTGCAGCGGGGCGTCGAGGGCACCTCATAGGTCTTGTGGAAGTGCGAGTAGTCGATCTTGTACTGGTTCTTTTCCTCGAAGAGCACAGGCTCAAAGCGGTGGCCCCACAGGATCTCATTGGCCAGATAGGAGCTGCGGGCCTGGGTGGTCATGGCTGTGGCCTCCACCATGCCCTCCAGGATGACCACGATCTCAAAGTCGTCCGTCTCCAGGTCCTGCCGGCTGATGCCGAACAGCGGGCTGGCCTCGTCAATCTCGTGCAGGATGGTGATGGGTGACACCAGAAAGATGCGGTCCAGGCCCTTGTCAAAGCCCACGTCAATATCGATCTGGTCCAGCGGGATGTACTCGCCCTCCTCGGTCACCCGCGGTTTGATGAGCTGCGCGCGCACGTGGGCCTCCACGATGTGGCTCTTGCGCAGGTTGCCCACGCGCCACATGAGGCAGAGCTTGCCGTCGCGCAGGGCCACCACGGCATTGTGGCTGAACAGCAGCGTCTGCGCCCGCTTCTTGGGCCTCGCCATCTTGGCCATGATGGCGCCGATCATGAAGGAGTCGATGATGCAGCCCACGATGGACTGGGCCACCACCATGAAGACGGCCACCGGGCACTCCTCCGTCACACAGCGCAGCCCGTAGCCGATGGTGGTCTGCGTCTCGATGGAGAAGAGGAAGGCCGCCATGAAGCCGTGCACCTGCATCACACAGGGAGTGCGGCCACGGCCCTCGGCGGGCTCCAGGTCACCGTGGGCCACGGCGATGACCCAGAAGATGATGCCAAACAGCAGCCAGGAGGCGAGGAAGGCCAGAGAGAAGATGAGCAGCATGTAGCGCCAGCGGATGTCCACGCAGGTGGTGAACATGTCGGCCAGGTAGCGCTGTGACTTCTCGTCCATGTTGGCGAACTCAATGTTGCACTGGCCGTTCTTCTTGACAAAGCGGTTCCGGCACCTCCGCCGCGTGTGCACCTTGCCGTTGCCGAAGCCATTGGCGCCCGACATGGTGACCAGGTGCAGCCCGTCCTCCTCCGATGACACAATGCTGTAGGGGTTGGCCCGGCTGGCCGCGGTCATCCCGGGGGCTCGGGGGCCCTGGCTTGCCCCCAGGCTGGCTCCAGGCAGGACGGCTCCTGCAACAGAGAGGAGACCATGTCTGGCTGGTGGCTCTGGGCTGCTCCACCCCCATCCCAAGGCCCCCAGACGCGACGGGAGAATTCTTCTACCCTGATTGACCCACAATCATGCTCTGGTCTTGCCTAAGCTAACTCCCCACTCTGCCTTCTCAGCACAAGGGGCCACTCCCTGTCCCCACAGCAGCTCCAGCCAAAGCCCTCAGCTCCACACCTTACTCCCACACAGAGGGCTCTACCTTCAGAATCTGCTTAGAATCCACCCCTTCTCCCACCCTCAAGGCCTGAATCTTACCAGTGCCTCCGCAGCCAGTTTGGGTGACACCTTGTCAGCCTCTCTGCCTCTGCCTGTGGCCCCCCAGTCTCCATGGCAGCCTCGGAGAGCCTGTGGAAGCTGAGTCGGTGCCTGTCCCTCCCCTGCTCAATGCCAGAGTCTCACCAGGACACGCAGGACCTGCACAGGGAAGCCCCTGACCACTTGAACCTCACCTCCCAGCCTCCTCCAACAGACTCCCCTTTCAGCCCCAGCCCCTGGCCCTAGACTGCCCCTCAAACCCACCCTGGACACCCTCCCCCTAGACATCCTGCCCTTGCCTCACCACCTTGGGACCAGAGGCTTCCCTGTGCCCCAGGAAGACCCCCCTCCTGCTGTATCCGCAGCACTGTCCTTTCCCATCCACCCTGTATCCACAGCACTGCCCCTTCCCGCCCCCCTGTATCCACAGCACTGCCCCTTCCCGTCCCCCCTGTATCCACAGCACTGCCCTTTCCCGTCCCCC